AAAAACCGATATTACCTCCCAAATTATTTGCAAAAACTAACGGTTCAAAACTTGGCTTTATTCCTCTCTTAGTCACTTCACACTTGGGCTGGAGGCACGAGAATGGGAGTGGCGATCGCTCCGACAATATTTTTAAATGCACATATAAAACATATATCAAAAATTAAATTCTTTTGGTTTATAGCGAATACATCATTAACCTTTAAAATAAGATTTTTCAGTCCCTAATAGTTTGTCCTATTTACATGATTTCACCTTCTTCTCTTCTTCCTCATTTGTTAATTTCGTTATAAAAAATAAAGAGAGAGAGTGATCAAGTTTCTAACATTTCAATTACTTCGAATTATGCGTGTTTGAAGAAGTAATAAAAAAAAATTAAATATATGATTGATATCATTCTTCAAACTCTAAAGAAAAATATCAAAATACCTGCATTGGATACGTATTAGAAAGATTATTCCATTTAAGAAGCAACTGAAAGACACTCATGAAAATTCTCATAGAATCGAGAATGATGGAATAATAAATATTAGCAAGAATGAGTTTCGAGGAGATAGACTATATCATTTTATCGTTGATATCACCAATAGATGTGGATAATAAGTCGGTGGCACGTTCAGTTTCTCCACATCTACTAGTGCAGCTTCCTCCTCCGCCTCTCTCCTCCGCTGGACCGCTTCCGTCCGACTTCCATGGGGGCGCATGATCTAAACTCCATGCTTTGTATCTCCAGAGGGAAATTCACAATCGCCTTGCTGCCGCGCAGCTCAAAAGCCACCTTGTCGTAGGCTTTTGCAGCCTCAATGGCAGTACCGAATGTCCCCAGCCACGTACGCGAGCCGCGCCGCTTGGGGTCCCGGATCTCCGCCGCATACTTTCCCCACGGACGCTGTCGGACTCCTCTATAATGCCGATTCTCCTCCGAGCCTAAGTGCTTCCGAGCTGACTCTGATACGTCGATCCACTCAAGCTTCCTGACGGCTGGAAATTTGATCTTTAGCGAAGGCTTCCGATTATTAGAATTTAGAGCTTTTTCTATTGTGAAATCTATTACTTGGTTTTGCTCGAAAAAATAGGATCGAGAGCTTGGAAAATCGGAGAAATTATTGGATTTATCAGAGATAGAAATCGGAGATTCATTGCTT